TGTTTTGGGGTGTTTGGGATTGTAAATATATTTCCATTTTTAGTATGATGCTTTTTGTGGCTAGTTTAGGGCTTGTGGTTGGAATTGTGTTTTTTGGCCTTTGAGTTACCACACTAATACTTTTGCTAAGAAGGGAGATGAACTTGTATCCATTTCATGCTGACTGCTGGATAAAGCTCTGGGTTGGCTTCATGCTAGTCCCAGTTGCTATGAGGCAGGCATGTTACAGCCTGGAAACTGGTTCAGTTGCAGCTCCCCCTGGAGAGCATTTGTATCAACAAGAGTCAAGGTATTTTCTACAATGTAACAAGAATAGAGAGGTAGTTTCTTAAAATGTAAATAACATGTAAGAGTGAAAGTGAGCGTGACTGGTGTGGCTTAATGCTTGAGCCTCAGCCCATGCAAGGAGAGGTCACTGGTTCGATTCCTGATCAGAGCACATGCCCAGGTTGTGGGCCCAATCCCCAGTGGGGGACATGCAGGAGGCGGCCAGTCGATGTTCTCGCTCATCAATGTTTCTATCTCTCTCTCCCTCTCCCTTCCTCTCTGTCTAAAATCAATAAAAAAGAAAAGTGACAGTGAGTTCAGGAAGCTATATGAAAATGAAAAAGAATCAAACCTGTGTAAAAAAAAGGAAAAAACTTTCAACCGCCCCGTATGGCATGGGAGGAGAATTTACAGTAAAAATAGGGAGAATATGGGGGCAGGGATGAGGTCAAGGCTGTGTCCATTGCTGAGCAAGAGAAGGACAATTATCATTGTATACTTTTCTTCTGTGTGATGGAAACCTAAGGTTTCAGGACTGCAGAGAAAGCAAAGACAGCTGTGACCTACCTGTCTTCTGTCTGAACCATCAGTTAATATAATCATCCTTAGCTTTGCCAGTAATGTGTCATGAACATAGTATAAGGGGTTCTCATCAGCGAGAGCCGGCATTCTTGGGAAGTGGTCAGGCTTCTTCAGTAATTGAGTGGTTTCTTCTTGGCATTTAAGATTGTGTCATTTACATCAAAAACAAAACTCAAGAAGTGAGTTCTGGTGTCTGCAGGGTAGCAAGCTCCTTTATATTACATTCTCTTACTCTTGCCAAGAAATTGATGGTAATACCAACTTCTGTAGATTCCATAGATTTGTGCAGAATGCATTCCACAAAATTCTTTAGGAATTTACTGTACTTAAAATGGAATTATGGGATACTCTCATGCTTCCCTGAGATTTGTATTCTTTGATTGAATTAGGAGCAAAATGCTTACTGTTTCATTCTTGGAGTAGAGACAAACAGCAATTCCAGATAAATGTATAGGAGGTGTATTCAAAGATAGAAAATTTTACTCATGGTTATTGAAATAGATTTTGAGCAAGCAGTAAAGGCATCATTTATTTATCCATTCATTTCACATTTATTTATTTGATGCTTACTAAGTGGCAGGCACTGTTCTAGGAGCTGGGAAGGAAAACAGCCTTCTATGGAACAGTCTGAAGTCAGAATTCCCTTGTAGGTGGTCATAATAGGCCCAGCACAGGTTCATCCTCTATCAATTATTATTATTATTTTTATCAATTATTATTATTTTTTATCCCTGTCTCCAGGAGACAGTTGCTGGCTTCCTTTTTGTTTATAACTGTCAGGCATGAGTCATCTCTTCACGGTAAGTATTGCAGAATCACATCCTATTCCAGTTCATTTGTACTACTGCCAGGGGCTCAGCCAGCAGTTTTTTTTGCCTGTCTTCTAGAAATTATGATAGTCAGAACAGAGAGACCAACTGTACATGGAACAGACGGTTAATTGAGGAATAGAGAGGAAAGAGCGTGGTACCTGTTTTCTGTCCATTTTCGTTCAGTATAAGGTATATTTAGGAGTAGAAAATGTCTTTCTTGGTGCCAGTGTATCAGGCAGTACCTACTATTAGGAAACCTTGAATCCATTAAAAATAAATGAATTTGCACCTCTGAGCAAATAAAGTCAACTGTGTCTTAGAAGGGATATTGGTTCTACAAATGGACTAGGCATCTTTGGCCAGTGGTTCTGTTGCACACATAAAATGGTCCTTTGAAGAAAACCTGGAAATTTATTTTAGAATTTTAAGAAAATCCATCAATGATGATGGAAAAAATAAATAAAAAAGAATATCCATTAAGTAAACAAGCAAACAAAAATTCTTCCTGAAAAATTTCTAAAGAACACTCACTTTGGTTTTCAGTATTTAAGCTTCTTCCATAATACCCTTATAATAAGTTTGATTGATTTATATATTTTTAAATGTATATATTTAAAACAGCTTTGCAATTTTAAAATAAATAATTTGTAGAACATTTTTACTTATAATTCTCTACCATATTATAACTTTTCATTTCTTGGGATTTTCTTCTAGTCTTTTTCTAATTATTATATGAAATTATTATGTTGGCATTTAGGTAGTGGTGTGTTCAACTCTAAACCTTAGAAGTTCCTACCCACTTTTTGCATATGCCTCATGAAGTGATTTCATACTCCAGCAGTGTGACTTAGGGTAGTGAAAGAGGGTTTGTTTTGAACAGCATGTTGAGTGTCAGACTAAAGTTCCAATCAGAAAACATTCCATGCAATTCCAGGCACAGATGAATCAGCAAATTTCTTTTTGGCCTAGGCTTGGATGGAAAATAGGTGGATTTATGTAGTGTTTGCTCAGTTATAAATGGTGAGATGCTAAAAGCACTTTTAGCTTTAGGGAGTTCATAGTGGCCAGCCAGGTGACACTTATGTGACCTACCTTAGAATAAAACTTACTAGTGCTTTGCTGAGGAAGGTGAGACCTTTGTGCTTTGCTGGGAATGGGAGGTGTCTCTCTCTCTCTCTCTCTCAGAATGGGAGTTCTCTCTCTCTCTCTCTCTCTCTCTCTCACACACACACACACACACACACACACACACACACACACACACAGTATGAGAAACAATAGGCTGGCATTTCTCAGTCTTTTCTTACTTACTTAGAGAAGGAGATCAGTAAGGAAGCAGTCCTAGGTTTTGATTTTTTAAAATCTTCCATCAGAAATACATGTTGCTCAAATAAGGTAAGGAATGAAAACAGAATATTAATCTGAAAGGAAATAAGCAACTTGTATATCTTTTAGATTTCAAATAAAGTAAAATTTCAACACAAACTTTGGCAGATTTGTGCTGAGTTTATTTATAACTGTAAAATGTGCTAGAATTCAGTGGAGGATTGATTTTTAAGTTTGTAGACCCCTGAAGACATTGGGAGTTGGTATGCCTACAGTGGTGATATAGGTGTGAGTCTCCAGATCAACCCTTAGGTCTGGAATGCCAGGCACAGTAGACAATTTCAGAGTTATAGAGGAGCAGTATATGCAGTGAATGGAAATATATGCTCCGAAGTGCTTCAAGATCCCCAGGGAAGAAGTCAAACACAGAGCAGAAACTGTTGACTAGGAAAAGAACCTGTAGAAGGTTTGTTTCTAAACCAAGATCATTCTTCTTTTTTTTTGTACGTGGCCCTAATGGGAACCGAACCTGGGATTCTCTGGTCCGCAGCTGATGCTCCAACTGCTGAGCCAAACTGGCCAGGGCCCAAGATCATTCTTGAAACTCACTTTAGGAACTTGGGTGTATCAGTTATCACTGGGTTCAGTCATATGTAAGAGACCATCAGAATAGCAGGGGCTTAAGACACAGGTTAATTTTTTTTCTTCACATGACAGAAGTCGAGCTAGGTAGTTTAGGGCTTGTGTGGCAGCCCTGTGGTCATCCCCCTTTATTTATTTTAGAGAGAGATGAAGGGAAAGGGAGTGAGAGATAGAAACATTGATGAGAAAGAACATCGATTGGCCGCCTGCCCCCCACAGGGTATTTGGCCCACAACTTGGGCATGTGCCCTGACCGGGAATCGAACTGGCGACCTCTTGGTGCATGGGTCGATTCTCAACCAGTGAGCCACACCGGCTGGGCCAGGCTCCCTATTTCTTTTTGTTTCTTCATCCTTAACTCTGGCTTCCATTCTGAGGTTTGCCTTACAGCTGCCATATGACCACCACTGCTCTCCGTGTCATCTGTGCTCCAGGCAACAAGGGCAAGGCCAAAGGGCGTACGTCTTCGTAGAATCACGTCCCCTCTGGAGAACTTTCCTGGAAGCCCCATACGCTTCATTGGCCACCCCTGTCTGTAGAGGACATTGCCTTCCCAAATAATGCGGAGGCTAAATATTGGATAGGCAAACCTTAGTCTCTGCTATATCAAGTGATCATGAGAATAAAGGTATTTTCAAGACTTAGATGGCTAAAACTTTGGGATACCTGCAGACTCTTCGAATAGGACAGTAATAATGTTTGGCAAACCTGGCTTTTAGTTTGCTGTTGCTTGAATGATTCAGCAATATTAAGGACTTACTATGTGCTGGACACAAATTCTAATCATGAACAAGATAGACATGGTCACTGCCTCCAAAGAGTTTACTGGCTAATGGAGAAAAATGTGTTTTAAATTAAAGTATAAATGTGTTGAACATTAAGAAAGGGAGATTACGTAATAAAAAGACTCTAAGGGTATGACATCACATACACGTCAAGATTTAAAGGGTGCTGAGAGTTCGCGGGTCAGCAATGCAGGAGGAGCGCACGAGGGAGAGGGTGTTGCAGGCAGACCTACTCTCAGTCCGATCATTTCCATAGCACTTCTTTCTTCCTTTACTTGTCTCGTTTCTTCGTCAGTGAGCGTGTCCGAGCAACATAGGAAGGCAGGGGCTAAATAGTGTTCTTTTCATTTGAAATGGCTGAAGGGACTGCCACCCTTTCTACTTACTTGTTTTTTCACTCTCTCTAGATGAGTGCCTACCTGCATGGGCTACACCAGGGAGTGAGGAAGGAGGTGGACAGATGATTGGGGTCATGCCAAAGTCCAATTGCCCCATTCTAAATCTGGACTTTGGTCTCAGTGTGGGACTTGGGGAGGCAAGGATTGGTTGACTCTGAAGTGCTGATATGACCCCGTTACCCTTCCAGGAAGTGGACATTGTGGTAGCACCGTGCCAAGGCCTCCGGCCCACAGTGGATGTTCTGGGTGACTTGGTGAATGATTTCTTGCCTGTGATAACCTATGCACTCCACAAAGATGAACTCTCCGAGAGGGATGAGCAAGAGCTTCAGGAAATCCGAAAGTGTTTCTCTTTGCCCATATTCTTTTTCAAAGTGCCGAAGCTGGGCTCAGAGATAATTGACTCTTCCACCAAAAGAATGGAGAATGAAAGATCACCACTTCATCACCAGCTAATTGACCTGGGCTATCTGAGCATCAGTCACTGTAACTGTGGGGCCCCTGGCCAGGACACTAAAGCTCAGAGCATGTTGGTGGAACAAAGTGAGAAGCTGAGACACTTAAGCACATTTTCTCACCAGGTGCTACAGGCTCGCTTGGTGGATGCAGCCAAGGCTCTGAACCTGGTGCACTGCTGCTGCCTTGACATCTTTATTAACCAGGCCTTTGACATGCAGCGGGACCTGCAGATTACTCCCAAACGTCTGGAGTATACGAGAAAAATGGAGAATGAGTTATACGAATCACTGATGAATATTGCCAACCGAAAGCAGGAAGAAATGAAGGATATGATTGTTGAAACGCTTAACACCATGAAGGAGGAGCTTCTGGATGATGCTGCCAACATGGAGTTTAAAGGTAGGTCCCAGAGAGCTCGGTGGGGTGCTGGGACTGCAGGAGCCTCAGCTCTCTCCAGCCGGAAATGGAGATAACCTCAGGGTTATCTCAGCTGTGCTGCTGTCATCAGCAGGAGTCCACTGTGAATCATTTAGCCGAAGTGGCCTCTTGTTCTCAGAGACTTTCCTGGAAGATCCCACTGTCATTCCTTCCCAGGACTGTTAGCTCACTTTTTGGTAAATTCCTCCAAATAGTGCTCTTTAATCTCCTTGACCTTAATGGAGATGGAGAAGAACTGCTTGAAGAATGTTACTGAATCAGTCTTTAACCTTGGCCCCATTCTTTATTGGTCTTTTTTGTGTGTGAGTCCTGGTCTCCCATTTTCTTTTTAGGTTGCTTTAGAAACCCAGCTTAGGAAGATTTCCCAAAGTAGTGTTTTTAGCTTTTTCTGGAGGTCTCATTCTTACAAATGGCTATTAATGAAGTTGGGCCAAAGTTAGTCAGGTCTTTTGGTTTCAGGTGTTGCTGACTTTGCATACTGATGGCTGAATAAACCTCCCTGCATAAACATTAGCTCCACTACCCAGTAATGTCACATGGTTTGCAAGTTACACTTTAGGTTTTCAATCATAGATCACCTGGGAGGCTTTTTGAAAATATAGATGCTTGATACTGCTAATTCATCAGAATTTCCGACATGAGACCTAGCATCAGTTTTTGTTTTCCCTGTGAAAACTACCTCCCTAGGTGGACTCTATTTATTGCCATTTTTTAGATGAGGGAACTAAAGCTTAGGCAGGTTAAGTAATTTTCTCAAGGTCAGACAACGCCTAAGTGAGGCAGAATTTGAATTGACACAGTCTGACTCCTGAGCCCATACTCTTTTACCATGCTTTCCTGCTTCTTCATCTGTTCCCAGCTATTTGGTGCCACCATCATCCTGTTAGCCAGCTTCAAAATCTCAGCATGGCCCTGGCTGGTTTGGCTCGGCGTTTAGAGTGTCGGCCTGCGGTCCAGAGAGACCCAGGTTCGGTTCCCACTAAGGGTGCGTACCTCGGTTGCAGTTTGTCCCCGGCCCCGGTTGGTTGTGCGGGTGGCAGCCACTTGATGTGTCCCTTTCACATCGATGTTTCTCTCTCTCTCTCTCTCTTCCTTTCTCTCCCTCCCACTCTATCTGAACAAAAAATGGAAAAATGTCCTCGGGTGAGGATTAAAAAAAAAACACAAAAAAAACCTCAGCTTGGTCTTTAACTGTTTTCTTTCTTTCATCCCCACATTTAGTTTGTTGCCAAGTCCAGATGAATCTTCTTCCATATTTTATATATACCTTTGTTTTTCTGTCCCTCTTCTTTAGTCTAACTGCACTATTGTTACCTGATTGATCTCACTGACATCTTTCTCTCTTTTCTCCAGTCTGTGTTTATTGGCTCCCTGTTCGTACAGCCTGCTTTTGTACCCCTTCACCTAGTACTAAAGGTTTTCCGAAGCCTAGCCCTTACCAACTTTCCCAGTTTTATCTCCTGCTGTGATTTCTACACCTTCTTGTAATTTGTTTTGGTTTCTCTCAACTGCTTGCTGTCCTCTGTGTGTTCCTTTTCCTTTTCCTTTGCTCGTGCCCTGCTCTAAACCTGAAATGTATTTTATTGTCTGTGAATGCTACCACCTGCCCTTCAAGCCTCTTCCAAGTAATGTTTTTCATGAAGTTGTCTTTAATTTTTTTAGTTAATAACCATTTCATTCATCTGAACTCCCAAAGCATTTCATTTGTAATTGAAATTTCTGTCATATTTTATTTTCTACCTTTTAGTATAGTTATTAACAATAATGTTCTTCTATTTTCTAAAATCCTAAAGGTGATGTAGAATAGGATCTGGGTCTTATATTCCTTGCATGTTTGGAGAGTGAATGAGTATGTAAATGATGGTATATGGTGTTAAACTTATAGATACATAGGATGCCTCATTTCTTAGTGGCCTTTCTAAAGATGAACAAAAATTCCTCTTTGTTGACTTCCTATAGTGAAGAGGAGTTGCTGAGAAATGCTCACTTGCAGAGGATATCCTAGGAAGTCTTGAATAATTAAAGAAACTGGAGTAGCAATTCTGTTATCGTAATACACATAGAGCAGCTGGGTTGGGCAGATAGTGAAATATTTTATTGTCTTTTATGTGCCAGGTATATACCATGTGTGGTGTCTGGGATACAGTGGTTAGTTCAGCAGACAGGAGTAACTCGGAACAAGTAGATCAAATGTCTGGCTCTGTTAACTACATTGTGTTATTGTGTGTCTATTTACCTGGTTGGCTATATGTTAGACACGACTCCCATGTCTGCTTCTTACCTCGTTCTAAGTCCTTTCTGGATATTCTTGAGGAAGCGATTAATAGATTTAGAAGAGATCTACAACTTGTTCTATGGAGCCAGATTTCTGTTACTTTTTTTTTTAATGTAATGCGTACACGCTTGGTCTCATGACATACACACTTTATAAAACATTTTTAAAAAATGATACCTATATACATGGTACTTAACTCAGAGGTGTAAAGGTACTGTCCTCCAGTCATCTAGTTTCCTACATATCTGCCCTTTGCTTTTTCACTCAATTCATATCTTAGAGATCGTTCCATGAATGTACATACATATTTGTCTTCTACTAATGCATATATACCTAAATTTATTTAACTACACCCCTACTGATGGTCATTTAGGTTTTTTTTTTTCTTTTTTTGTTAATCCTCACCTGAGGAGAATTTTTCCTTGATTTTCAGATAGAGTGGAAGGGAGGGAGAGAGAGAAAGAGAGAAACATCCATATGAGAGAAATACATCGATTGGTTGCCTCCCACACAGCCCTGGGGCTGGGGATGGAACCTGCAACCCAGGTCTGTCCCCTTGACGGGGAATCAAATCCAAGACCCTTCGGTTTCACAGGTCAACACTCTAACCCCTGAGCCAAAATGGCCAGGGCTAGGCTATTTAAAACTTTTTATTATAGACTGCTCTGTGTTGATCATCATTGTGTATATATATATATCTTTGGGGTTTGTAAGGGTATATTTCCAGGAAAATAATTTCTAGAAGCAGAGTAGTTAGATCAAAAGGTATATAAGGTGTTTTGTTGTTGTTATTGGTTGGTTAGTTTAGAATTTTGGTAGATATTGCCAGATTTCCTCCAAAGAGTTGACACTAAATTTCCACCAGTAGACACAAGGGTGCCTTTTTAGGAATGGAGTTTTCACAGGTAATTTATCTTAACTTCTTTTGTCCTCTGGTTTGCAAAACAGTTTCTAATCCTGAGAGGTAGTGGCATGGAGGGGAGAATCAGTGTCCCAGTTTTACTTTTTATTTATCTAGTAATGGATTAGAATTGAATTCCTGACTCTGGGATTTTTCTCAATATGCTGTTAGTGTGAAATATTGCAAAGGTCAGAGGCTTTGGAATTCATGAGCTTTGGGTTCAAATGTTGGCCATAGTTCTCCATTGCCCACCTTGTCCTCTCTTTGAGACTGTTTCCTGATCTATAAAATATAAGAAGTAATACCTACCTGACAAAGTTATCGTGAGGATTAAATTAGACTACATATGTAAAATACTTACTATACTGCTTTCAAAGAGTCTGCAATCAATATATGTTCTCCTCTTATAAATGTGACCAAAAAGTTAACACAATCAATAGGCTTATTCTGGACACATTTGCTCCTTCTCAGGATTCTTAGTTCCCTTAAGTAGTCGAGGGTTACATGACTCCTGATCATCCTGAAGGTCAGATTACATCAGCCAACCATGTGTTTTATAGTCGTTGTCATGGTAGCTCTTTGATTTGGGAGATACCTTTATTCAGTGTGCCTGCCCCTTCCCCTCACAGCCAACTAGCTTATTTCTCTGCCTCCATAGATGTCATTATCCCTGAGAATGGGGAACCAGTGGGCACCAGAGAGATCAAATGCTGCATTCGACAGATCCAGGAACTCATCATCTCCCGGCTGAATCAGGCGGTGGCTAATAAGCTGATCAGCTCAGTGGATTACCTACGTGAGAGCTTTGTTGGGACCCTGGAACGGTGTCTGCAGAGCCTGGAGAAGTCTCAGGATGTCTCAGTTCACATCACCAGTAATAATCTGAAACAGGTGCTCAAAGAATGTTTAAGACACCATGTCACAAATAACACATGAAACAGAATCCACACATAAGCCCAGCTTCAAGTTAGCCAACAATTTTCCTTTCAACTTTTTCCTGATCCAGGTAGAATTTTATTTTGTTTTCCTATCGTATGACCACTGCCTGCGGGAGGTGCTTGTGAACTGTACACATGCAGTTAAGTCGATGAGCAAGAAGAAGATGAAGAAAAGAGGCTCAAATAGTTACAACATAGATCAACTTGCATTGACTCTTGCATTGTAATTTATATTGAGGGATAAATTTGAGAACCTTGAGACCAGACTGTGTTCTTGAAGTAAATATCATTTATTGCATTTTTTAAAAAGCCACATTTTTTAAAAAGCATACTGATTTTTTGTGTATTCTCTTTCAGATCTTAAATGCTGCCTATCATGTCGAAGTCACATTTCACTCAGGGTCCTCAGTTACAAGGATGCTGTGGGAGCAAATCAAACAGGTAGATGTTGCTTAAAGAAAAAATTTTGAGCCCTTAGTTGGCTTGAATGAATCTTAGTCACTCTGATAAAGAGAGAATGAATAACTAGAATCTTCTGTTAGTGTGAGGTGGCCACATAGTTTGCCTTCCTAGGAGAATTCTGGTTCATGCTTATTCTGATATAATTGTTAACATTGCCACCTTTAACTCTTTTTTTTTTTTTTCTTTATTGATTTTAGAAAGGGAGAGGGAAAGAGAGATAGAAACATCGATGAGAGAGAACATCGACTGGCTGCCTCCTGCCCGCTCCCCACTGGGGATCGGGCCCACAACCCGGGCATGTGGCCAGACCGGAAATTGAACCGGCCACCTGAGCCACACCGGCCGGATGCCACCTTTAACTCTTAAAAGTGGTGTGTTTAAATGATATTTTATGAAGCCATAAGACTCTGCTCCACTAGCTTCTTCATATTTCTTGTCCCCACCTGAATGTTTTCTCTGAACCAGGCTTTGTCGCTGGAGGCCATGAGTGTGGTTCCTTTTCTGGAATTTGATCCGGCTCTTATGTGGAGTTATTTACTAACTCACGGAGGGATTACCAGGCACTTCCTGATATTGGGTGTAAGGTATTGAGAGTTTGTGAGCACGTAGACTAGGCCTAGTGTTCTTTAATACTTTCCTTTGGGCTGAGTCCTGAGTTTGAGGTAGATGGAATTGCAGAGGAGTCTTAGACTTCATATGGCTCGTGTCTAAAGAATGGATAACCCAGACCTGGCCAGATAGCTCAGTTGGTTAGAGTGTCGTCCTGATGCACCAAGGTTGTGGGTCCAGCCTCCGGTCAGGGCACATACAAGAATCTTCCAGTCCGGCCAGTGTGGCTCAGTGGTTGAGCATCGACCCATGAACCAAGAGGTTGTAGGTTCAATTCCCCGGTCAGGACACATGCACAGGTTGTGGGCCCTAACCCCAGTGAAGGGGTGCAGGAGGTGGCCAATCGATGTTCTCTCTCATTGATGTTTCTATATCTCTCTCCCTCTCACTTCCTCTCTCTCTAAAATCAATAAAGGAAAAAAATTAAAAAAAAAAAAGAATCAACCAGTGAATGCATATGTAAGTGGAACAATAAATCAGTGTTTGTCTCTCTCTTTTCCCCTTTTTTCTTCCCTCCCTCCCTCTCCCTTCTCCTCTCTCTAAACTCAATTAAAAAAAACAAAAATGAAAAACAGCCCTGGCTGGTGTGAGTTGGTTGACATTGTCCCATGCACCTAAAGGTTGCTAATTCAGTTCCCAGTCAGGGAACATGCCCAGGTTTCAGGCTTGATCCTTGGTAGGGGGCGTGCAGGAGGCAGCCAATCAGTGCTGTGCTGTCACATCGATGTTTCTCTCTCTCCCTCTCCCCTCCTCTTTTTCTAAAGAGAAATCAATTAAAAAAAAATTTTTTTTTTAAAAAGAATGGCTAACCCAGAGAGGGCATTGGCTCTTTTTAGCAGTTTCTGTCTCCCATCCTCAATGTTCTCACTGTCTTTGTCCTGGCAGATCATCCAGCGCATCACATGGGTGAGCCCACCCGCCATCACGCTAGAATGGAAGAGGAAAGTGGCCCAGGAAGCCATTGAGAGCCTCAGTGCCTCCAAGTTGGCCAAAAGCATTTGCAGCCAATTCCGGACCCGGCTCAATAGTTCTCATGAGGCTTTTGCAGCCTCCTTGAGGCAGGTGGGTATGTAGGGAAGGAGATACAGCTGGATCAGGTGGAGAAGAGCCTCATCCATTGGGGAATATTTTACTCTCTGCTCTCCATATAATTTTAGAAAATCACTATATTTTCCTTCTGTTCCCCTAAAGGATAATATCATGTCATGGGAAGTTTCATCAACATGTTTTTCATCTGGATATTTTTCTCTTCTAACTCTAGGGAGAATGCAGGGAGTCAGTTAGTTTCTCCCCATTTCATAGAGTAAGGAATGAAAATCAAGGGGCAGGAATTTTATATAAGTTTATATAGTATTTTAGGAATGATGACAGAAAGGGACGACTTTCCAACTTCAATACTAATTTGTGATTATATGACATCTTCTTGTCCCTTTGGGGTGTGTGTGTGTGCGTGAGCATGTTATAGGTGTGTGTTGGGGAGGGTGGGTAGATGTGATATGCATCTAGGAGGAAAAATTATTACTTGCTGAGAGCCCTTTAGGACTAATCTCTGAGCTAAATGTGTTACATACATCTTATTTAATTTTCACAGTTATCCTTATGAGGCAGATAATTATTATCCCTATATAACAGGGGAGGGAGCCAGAGCTAGGGACTTAATGGGCTGTGTCTTTTTGCTGTGTCCTAGCTGGAAGCTGGCCACTCAGGCCGGTTGGAGAAAACTGAGGATCTGTGGCTCAAGGTTCGGAAAGATCATGCCCCACGCCTGGCCCGCCTTTCTCTGGAGAGCCGATCTTTACAAGATGTCTTGCTGCATCGTGAGTCCTTTTTGTTTGGAGAAGGGTTCTCATGTTCAGCCTTGGAGAATCCTAGAGTCCAAAGCTGCTTCCTTGCGAAGCTGCCTAATATTGCCTGATGTGTTTTTGAATTCCTGACGTGTGTTTGGTTCTGCTATTTATGTAGTTCAAATAACAGGACCAAAGTTTATTTAAATCAAACCAGTTATGTTACTTTCTGCTACTTTAGAATGACATCAGAATGTCTTCCCTGCAGCGTAATTATGACTTCCTGCCTCTTAGCCATGGCTAAGAATCTTAGGTTTCTCAGCAAGTTCCCATCTCTCCTGCCTTATCTCTGTCTCTGTGCCTTGTAGATAAACCTAAACTGGGACAGGAACTGGGCCGGGGCCAGTATGGTGTGGTGTACCTGTGTGACAACTGGGGGGGACATTTCCCTTGTGCCCTGAAGTCGGTTGTTCCTCCAGATGAGAAGCACTGGAATGACTTGGCCTTGGAGTTTCACTACATGAGGTGAGTAGGGTCTCATTCACCTCAAAGGGAAAAGATCCAGGGAAGAAGCCAGAAGCCTGGCTTACATTCTATATGAAGAGCTACAGCATGCCTTGTCCCTCCACACCAAGGTCTCAGAATGTTGTAGCCCGGTCGTTCTGTGTCTGGCCCGGAACTGCTCTCTTCACGTCCTTTACTGCCTTTGCCTGCCCTTTCCCAACATCCTAATTTCTCAGATTTATCCTTCCATTTGACCTTCTTCCTTAGTTCCTAATGCCTTTCAACTTTTAGATTCCATAACGCTTTGTCCTTGTTTGAGAGGCCATTCTCTTTGCCCTCTCTCTGTACTGAGGGCCATTACCTGTGGACCTGGACTAAGCGTGGTCTCAAGGTTATTCATTCCCACATGGTGGATCCTGTGCATTGTAGCCCAGACCTCTCTCCTTCCCACCAGGTCTCTGCCGAAGCATGAGCGATTGGTGGACCTCCATGGTTCTGTCATCGACTACAGCTATGGTGGTGGCTCCAGCATTGCCGTGCTGCTCATTATGGAGCGGCTCCACCGGGACCTCTACACTGGGCTGAAGGTGAGGCGAGGCAGGGACAGATCCAGCTAGCAGCCCGATCTGCAGCTTCCTCCTGGCCTTTCGTCCTTTTTTGTTTGTTCAGAGCTTCTAGCTTTTATAAGACGTTGGAATAATCAGGCATTATTACTCTTATTTCCAAAAATCTTAAAAAATTATTCAGAATCTATTTTTTGGTCCAGTTTATATCCAGAATACTGTAACGTAATCCTTTTAACCTCCTGTAGTGGTGGTGGGGAAATCTAGACTACTCAGAAGTGCAGAAAAGCTTCCTGTAACTACTGTTCTGTCTCTTTTTGGCCGTCATTTTATAAAGCCAGTTTTTGTTGTTTAGTCAACACATATGTTTAGTAGTGACTACTTTGTATGAGGCCCTGTATTAAGCACCATAGAGTCAAAAAGTATAATTACTAGGAGCTTTTAAGAGAATTTTAGTGAGCGAGTAGTCCATGAAGATGGGGTGTTGGAGTTTCAGTACACATCGATGGCTGCAATTTGAGCAGTTGCAAAGAAGAGGCCATATCAGGGGGAGGAAATAGCATAATAAGAGCATTGGAAGACCATTGGAGCAACTGGTTCATTTTGGGAATTGTTGGAGGTGGGTATAATGTGCCAAGAAGGGTTGGGAGCAAATTATAGAGGACTAAAATGTTAAGAGTTTCCATAGAATTCAAATTCTGTTATAGACAGTGAGAAGCTACCAAAAGATTTTATTTGAGTGAAAGTGAAATACGTCAGTTGGATGCTGCGTTTTCCTGGTGTGAAATAACCACCAAAAAGGAAGTAGAGAGGTTTCTCTTGTCTACTGACTGGAGCTGAGGAGAATGGGGGAAAGGCTAACCCCAGAGTATCGGGTTGGTCCCTTCTCACAAATTTCTTTTGTACCAGTTTATTTGTAAACTTCCAGAAGTAGCACAAAAGAATCCTTAGAAGTGCTTGCAGGAGCCATGAGATGTCAATATGAAGAAAATGACCCTCCAAGGGGTTTTCCTTCTTCATTTCAGAGGAATTGAGCTCAGCTCTGTCTGATGCTTCTCCACAAGTGGACTAGAGAACCATATTTGAGGCTTGGTAGAAGTGAGGAGTTAATTTGGTATTTGGATAAATGAAACCCAACTTGGCCTAACTAGGCCTACAAAGCAATGGACCTAGAAATAATTACTTTGAGCCTCAAGGGCAGTTTCAGAGTCTGTTTAGGGGTTAGAATGAGCTCATGCCTGTAGTCTTTGGTTGCACCTCTCCTAGTCACATTGGGGAATTATCCAGCTGGCATAGTGCAGCCTCCAAGGGATTTTATGTGGCCTATATAGTGTGCCCTTCCTTGTTTTTCTCTACTTCCCTCTCCTAACTGTTTTCCTCTTCCCTTTTTTCCATCCACTTTTCTGTCCTTGTGTACCCTAGTGCAGTCAGTCAGTCTTTCAGACCCTACGAAAGGAACTCTTAGAATAATCAGGCTGGATTGACAAATTGTCTTAGTGACAGATAAACTCTTGTTTCCCCAAGGCTGGGCTGACCCTGGAGACACGTTTGCAGATAGCGCTAGATGTGGTGGAAGGAATCCGCTTCCTGCACAGCCAGGGACTTGTCCACCGTGACATCAAACTGAAAAACGTGTTGGTAAGTAAGAGCTGTTTATACAGTGTAGTGTGCTGCTTCTGGGTTAAGTGATCTTTTTTTTATTATTATTATTTGTTTATTTTTGTTACAGATGTTTTTCCTTTTTCCCCCATTGACACCCTCCTCCCGAACCCCCCTTCCAGCATTGTTGTCTGTGTCCATTGTTTACACATACATGCATATAAGTTGTGTGGTCTACCTGTTCCCTCCCCCCATTTCCCCTTTTCTGAGGTTTGTCAGTCTGTACCCCACATCCATGTCTCTGTTTCCATTCTGTTCATCAGTTTGTTTTTTTCATTATATGCCACAAATAAGTGAGATCATGTGATGTTTGTCTTTCTCTGATTGGCTTATTTTGCTTAGCGTAACACTGTTCAAGTCCCTCCATGTCATCTCAGATGATGAGATCTTTCTTTCTTACAGCTGCATAGTATTCCATTGTGTACCACAGCTTTTTTATCCACTCATCTATTGATGGACACTTGAGCTGTTTCCAGATCTTAGCAACTGTAAATAGTGTTGCTGTGAACATGGGGGTCCATATATTTTTTTTCTGATTGGTGTTTCAGGCTTCTTAGGATATATTCCTAGAAGTGGGATCACTGGGTCAAATAGTTCAATTTTTAATTTTTTGAGGAAACATCCTATTGTTTTCCATAGTGGTTACACCAGTCTGCATTCCCACCAGCAGTGTACCAGAGTCCCCTTTTCTCCACAACCTCGCCAGCACTTGTTTAATGATTTGTTGATGGCAGCCATTGTGACAGGTGTGAGGTGATACCTCATAGTTGTTTTAATTTGCATCTCTCTGATGATTAGTGACATTGAACATTTTTTCATGTTTCTTGGCCATTTCTATGTCCTTTTTGGAGAGGTGTCTGTTTAGGTCCTTTGCCTATTTTTAAATTGGATTCTTTGTCTTCCTTTTGTTGAGTTGTGAGTCCTCTATATATTTTGGAAATTAGCCCCTTATCTGATGTATCGTTGGCACTGATGCTCTCCCATATAGTGGCTTCCCTTTCCATTTTGATGCTTGTTTCTTTTGCTGTGCAGAAGGTTTTTAGTTTGATGTAGTCCCATTTATTCATTTTTTTCCTTTGTTTCTCTTGCCTTAGGCGTTGTATCAGTGAAAATTCTGCTGCGTGTGATGTCTGAAATTTGTTGCCTACATTTTCTTCTAGTATTTTTATGGATTCATGAGTCACATTTAAGTCTTATTCTTTTTGAGTTTATTCTGTGTATGATGTAAGTTGGTGTTCTAGCTTCTTTTTTTGCATGTAGCTGTCCAACTTTTCCAACACCATTTATTTTTTTATTATTATTATTTTTTTATCCTCACTCGAGGACATTTTTCCATTTTTTGTTCAGGTAGAATGGGAGGGAGAGAGAGGAACAGAGAGAGAGAGAGAGAGAGAGAGAGAGAGAGAGAGAAACATCGATGTGAAAGGAACACATCGAGTGGCTGCCACCCACACGACCGACCAGGGCCGGGGACAAACTGCAACCGAGGTACGTGCCCCTAGCGGGAACCGAACCCGGGTCTCTCTGGACCGCAGGCCGTCGCTCTAACCACTGAGCCAAACCGGCCAGGGCCCAACACCATTTATTAAAGAGGCTGTCTTTACTCCACTGTATGCTCTTGCCACCTTTGTGAAATATTAATTGAGCATAATGTCTTAGGTCAATTTCTGGGTTCTCTGTTCTGTTCCATTGATCTATATGCCTGTTCTTGTGCCAGTATCAGGCTGTTTTGATTACAGTGGCTTTGTAGTATAACCTGATATCCAGTATTGTGATCCCTTCCTACTTTGTTCTTTTTCAAGATTGCTGTGACTATTTGGGGTCTTTTTTTTTTTGTTTCATATAAACTTTTGGAGTATTTGGTCTAGTTCCATGAAATATGTCATTGGTATTTTAATGGGGATTGCATTGAATGTATAGATTGCTGGGTAGAATGGACATTTTAATGATGTTGATTCTTCCAATCCATGAACAAGGTATATGCTTCTACTTTTTTATATCTTCCTCTATTTCTTTTTTCTGAGAACAGGTCCTTTACTTCTTTGGTTAAGTTTATTCTTAGGTATCTTAATTTTTTTGCTGTAATGGTTGGTAAATGGTTTTGTTATTTTAGCTTTTCTTTCTGTGAGTTCATTGTTGGTATATAAGAATGCTGTCAATTTCTTGATGTTAATTTTGTATTCTGCTACTTTGCCAAATTCATTTATTGGGTTAAGTGATCTTTCTAGGGTACACTTAAATGTAAGTTTGGTCACACAAAAAGATTGGAGGGAAAGTAGTAGAAGTAACAGCAGAATAGTTGGTTGGTATGTTGGACCTAAAGCTTAGGGAGGACTTGCATGATAGACACAGTTCTTATTGTTCAAGGTTATTTCTCCCAACACTAATGAAAAAGTTTAAACTTACAGAAAAGTTACAAGAGCAGTACAATGAAAGCCCATATTATATTCATTCAGATTCATATTCTTTCTTTTTCCTAGTGTGATCTCTATCTCTCTCTGTTTCTCTATCTCTCTCTCTCTCTCTCTCCACACACACACACACACACACACACTTTTTTACTGAATTCTGTGAAAGTAAATTGCAGATAACATGTGATTCCTAAATATAGGCATACCTTGTCTTATTGTGCTTTGCTTAATGCACTTCACAGATACTACGTGTTTTTTTTAATTGAAGGTTTGTGGTAACCTTCACAAGTTTATTAATGCCTTTTTTCCAACAGCATTTGCTCACTTCATGTCCCTGTGTCACATTTTGGTAATTTTTGTTATTATATTTGTTAGAGTGATCTGTGATTAGTAGTCTTTGATGTTACTGTTATAATTGTCTTGGGGCACCACAAACCATTCCCATATTAAGTGGCAAACTTAATTGATAAATGTTGTATGTGTTCTGACTGCTCCACTGATTTCCTGAGACACAACAATATTGAAATTAGGCCAATTAATAACATCACAATGCCCTCAGAGTGTTCAAGTGAAAGGAAAAGGCACCCATGTCTCACTTTAAATAAAAAACTAGAAATGGTTAAGCTCAGTGAGGAAGGCACATCAAAAGCCAAGATAGGCCGAAAGATGGGCCTCTTGTGCCACTTAGCCAAGCTGTGAATGAAAAGGAAAGGCAATTGAAGGAAAGTAAAGTGCTACTCCAGTGAACACACGAATGATAAGAAAGCAAAACAGCTTTATTGCTGTTATGGAGAAAATTTTAGTGGTCTGGGTAGAAGATCAAATCAGCCACAACATTCCCTTAAGTCAAAGCCTAATCAAGAACAAGGCCCTAACTCTGTTCAGTTCTGTGAAGGCTGAGAAAGGTCAGGAAGTTGCAGACGAAACGTTTAAAGCTAGCAGAGGTTGGTTCATGAAGTTTAAGGAAAGACACTTATGCAGGTGAAGCAGCAGGTGCTGATACAGAAGCTGCAGCACGTTATCCAGAGATCTATCTAGTATAATTAATGAAGGTGGCTACACTAGACAACAGATTTTCAATGTAGATGAAACCGCTTTGTATTGGAAGAAGATACCATCTAGGACTTTCATAACTCGAGGGGAGAAGTCAATACCTGGCTTCAGATCTTCCGAGGACAGGCTGACTCTCTTGTTAGGAGCTAATGCAGTTAGTGACTTTACGTTGAAGCCAATGCTCATTTACCATCTGAAAATCCTAGGGCTGTTAAGAATCACACTAAATCTTCTCTGCCTGTGCTCTATGACTGGATCAGCAAAGCCTGGTAACAGCACATCTGTTAAGACCTTCTGCTCAGAAGAAAAGATTCTTTTCAAAATGTTATTGCTCATTAACAATGTTCCTGGACACCCAAGAGCTCTGATGGAGATGCACAATGAGGTTAATGTTGTTTTTATGCCTGCTGAATTAAATCCACTCTGCAGCCCATGGATCAAGGAGTAATTTTGACTTTTAAGTCTTACTATTTAAGAAATACATTTTATAAGGCAGTTGCTGCCATGCATAGTGATTCCTCTGATGGACCTGAGGAAAGTAAACTGAAAACCTTCTGGAAAGGATTCACTATCATAGATGCCATTAAGAACATTTGTGATTCATGGGAAGAGGTCAAAATATCAACATTAACAGGACTTTTGAAAGAAGTTGATTCCAACTCCCATGGATGCCTTTGAGGGGTTCAAAGTTTCAGTGGAGGATTTAGAAGTGGAGCCTAAAGATGTGACTGAATTGCTATAATCTCGTGATAAAATTTCAATGAATGAGGAGTTGTTCCTTATGGATGAGCAAAGAAAGTGGACTGTTGAAATGACAACAAAGGATTTAGAATATTATATAAACTTAGTTGTTAAAGTAGCAGCAGGGTTTGAGAGTACTGACTTCAGTTTTGAAAACAGTTCTAATGTGGGTAAAATGCTGTCAAACAGCATCACAGGTTACAGAGAAACTGTTAGCAAATTGAAGAGTTGATCGTTGTGACAGACTTCGTCGTTGTTTTAAGAAACTGCTGCAGCCACCACCTTGGTCAGTCAGCAGCTATCAGCATTGAGGCAAGACACTCCAGCAGCAAAAATAGTACAGCTCACTGAAGGCTTAGATGATGGTTAGCATTTTTTTGGTTGTTGTTCCTATCTCTTTAATGAGATCAAAGGCTCCTGTGTATGTCATCGGGGTAGAGCTAACACGGTCCCTCTCCGTAGGACTCTAGCCCTTTCAGGCAGATTCTAGGAGGGCAGGGAGAGGACAGAGAGAACTCAAGGGTTGTTTCTAGTGGGCAGGTAACCCACCCACCCTCCCAAAATTGCTTATAGTATGTCCCCTTCACTGGAAGCTAGCCCCACAGAAGAAAGTTGGGTATGGAATCTAGGGACAGTGTCCAAGGGGAGTGGTCCCCCGGATCTGGCTGGGTGGCACTAGCCCTTGCCGCCTTGACTGGCTCACCCTCCCTGGAGTCAGGACAAGAGCAGAGTTCAATACTCAAGTCACCAGTCAGGTAGTGATAGTGGCAGGGGTAGGGACAGAGCTCAGCCCTGCCCAGGCTCACTCTCCTGATGAGAGAGGGCACTCTGGTGAAGGAAACACCTTTCGCATTTGCTCCTTTGCAGTGGCAGGGCAGCTAAACGTAGAGGAGCAGCAGGTCCATTCCCTGGAAGCAGTCAGGGGGCAGCCTGGGACCACGGTGTAAAGAGGTGGTGGTGTGACTGGTCAGTGAACCACATCTTCATAGGCTGGGGATGTGAAGTTGCTGAGGAGGTGAAGGTCAGGCAGTGAACTAGTAGGAACAGGGCCAGCCCCATGGCGTGCCCCATAGTAGGCGAACAAGTTGATCTCATGCTGCTGCTATTGCTGCAGCTGGCGTTTAGCTCGTCAATGATGGAAGGCACGACAGTAGTTAAAGAGGATGAGGACGGTCCAGAGCAGCCAGGACCACCAGAGCTCATCGCTGTAGGTGCAGTAGCAACCACTCTCACAGAGGTAGGGTTGGTTGTTCACACCTGGGCAAAGCTCTCAAAGCTGCTGTTGCGACCCCCAGGCCTCCTCGCTGCTGTTCCCACTGCTGGCCCAGCCTTGCTCCACCTACAGCCCCCCGAAGACTGTAGCCTCCTCTGCTGCCAGCCACCCCACCTCTGCCACCTCTGCTGCTACTGCCATGGTCCCTGTGTGGGCCCTCTGCACTGCTGCCACCATCACTTGGCAGCCAGAGCTCCATGCCGCTGGTTAGCATGTTTTAGCAATGAAATATTTATTAATTAATGTATGTACCTTGTTTCTTAAAAGATACAGTGCTAGAGCACAATTAATAGACTACAGTATAATATAAAAATAATTTTAGTGTACTGGGAAACAAAAAAATTCATGTGACTCACTTTATTGCAATATTATATTGGTTTTATAGAAGTGTTCTGGAACTGTACCCGCAGTATCGCTGAGGTATGCCTGTACTTCAGCTTGTATCTCCTAAAAAAGGGGAGGGGCATCTTTATGTAATTAACATGCCATTATCACACTGAAGAAATTTAACATTGATACAGTACTATTAGTTAATATACTGTCTGTATTAACATTTTTCTAAATTGTCCCGAATATGCCCAATTATCCCACATGTTTGATCCAAGATCAAATCCAAGGATCATACAATACATTTTGTCGTCATGTTTCTTTAGCCTCCTTTAATCTAGAATAGTCCTTCTGCCTTTTTGGCTTTTGTGACATTGATGTTTTTAAGGGTTCCAGGTCTTGTTATTGCTTAGAGTTTGATCAGAAATATTAGATGAGGACTGAGACGGGTAAATGCACCTTAGAAAGTAATGGACCCACCAGGCCTGTTACCTAAATTACAAAGAATCTTCTAACATACTCCTCTGGAAAATGTATTAGATTAGTATTGAGTTGTCTCTGGCATCACTTAAATGATGTATAAAGATACAGCAATTTGGGGGAAAGGAAAGACTTTCCTAAAATTATAGGCTGACACCTAAGAGGCTTATCAATTACCAAATGGGATACAGATTTATTCTCTTGGACTTTAGGAAAGGAAACTACAGGGGATTCCAGAAACTTTAGCTGACCAGGGTAGCAGCTTTCTGCCCTGGTGTCTGGAGATCAGAGGAGGAGAATCAGGATCTGAAATACTTTTCCTCAGTGTTTTTCACTTATTCGTTCTTCGAAGATTTGTTAAGCTCCTGACAGTGCCGGGCACTATGCTAAGTGCTGGGAATCCAAAGGTGAAAAAGGCAGTCCCTGCCATCAGGTTGCTTACAGTCTGTCTGGGGAGAGGATACTAATGGGAATGAATCTGGAGACAGGGAGGCTGGAAGCAGGATTGATTAAGTACTGCTATGAAGTAGACACCTACCTGTGAGCTTAGGGATGCAGCTGAGCTAAGTTCTGTGTGCAGGATCAGACACAGGTGACTCTTACCCCTCTTTGTTGGCAGCTGGACAAGCAGGACCGAGCCAAGATCACTGACTTAGGATTCTGCAAGCCAGAGGCCATGATGTCAGGCAGCATTGTGGGGACGCCAATCCATATGGCCCCTGAACTTTTCACAGGTAAGCTGGAGGGCAGGGAATGGGTTTGGGAGGGGCTCCGTACTGTAACCCTGAGTGCTACCCCTTGTGCTAAGAGTAGTGTCCACAAGTAGTGCTTGCAGACCCAGCATAGGCAAGGGAGAAAACAGTACAGGGAAAAACTAAGACAAGTAGGGGGAAAGTAAAGAGGTAAAGGGGTCAGAAAGAAAAGTGCAAACAGGAGTTACCAACTATTCTTGTGGATGTCTCTCTGGATCATAATTGCAACCAATTTTTTTAATCATAAAAAACTGGTTGAATAACTCCTATACTACATTAAGAGTTGTCTTCTGTCATTAAAGAACTTATAGATGACAGGGATATATTATTAATAGAGGGCAATATAAGACTACATGTGACAAAGTGCTAAGTTAAATGCTACATAATGTCATGTTGGCATTCAGAGAAGGAATAAATGTAGGTTGCAGTGTTTGATGGTTTCGTAGTAGAGGTAAGATTTTAGGTAGAACTGGAGCCATCTGGAAAAATTGGTAGGTGGAAAGGGAATTCATATTTTTAAAGTATATTCTTTGAGCTAGGCAGCGTATGTTTTTTCATATATTTTATTCCATTTAATCCTCATTAGAATTCTGTGGTGATGTTGATGCATTTTTATGTCCATATTATGGATAAAGTTAAGTCAAGGCCAGATTGCTGAAGAAATCCAGCCCAGAACACTGAGCTAGAAGTCATGGAGCTAGGAATGGAGTTCAGGTCCTTTTGTCTCTAGTATCTAACCATGTATCATCATGAAAGAAAGAAAGTTCTGGAGTCTGGGGAATGGGAAATATGAAAAAAATTGCGGAATAGAAATAAGCACGACAGGAAAGAAATCCATATGGGGACTATTACCAAACCAGGTTGGAGATGAAATGCAGTGAGCTTGAAATTCACACAGAGGGGTGAAGGCGTATGTTGAAGAAGTAAGGTGCAGTTGTGCTTTTAAGCAGCAAGGAATGAAGATGTTATGGAAGATTAGCTCAGCAGCAGTAGGTCGAGGAAGCTGAGTGGCAAGAACCAAGGCAGGGAAATGGTGGCTGCCTTCATGATTAGGTTGGTGATAATACTCAAACAAACTGACAAGAAACTGATAGGTTGGAGATAATTCAGAGGAAGAATGGGCAATGTTTTTTTTTTTTAAGTTGATATGAGTGATAACAACAACAACAAAAAATGACTAAACAGTGACTCCAAGGTTTTGACCCTGAAGGGATGAGGAGGGGGGCATGATTGTTTGGGAAGATGGAAAGGTAATCACAGGTTACTCCTTAGTATTGGTAAGAGTTGAGTTAGCACTATATCTGAATTTCATCAGCCTCATGAACAAGTCCTCCCCAGACCCTTCACTGAGTGATCCGCATAAGAATTAGGAGTTAGCTGGAGAGCTGTAGTCCTACCCACACCGGAACGAAGTACACAGTCATCATTTTTCTTTCTCTAGATTTCCTTTTCAAAATTAAATTTCTGTTCTCCCTGCTATTATAATTTTTTTTTTTTTTTTGTGGCAACTTCATATTTACATTTCTTTTGTTTCTACTGCAGTCCATTCTATTGCTGTCAGAATTATCCTCTAAAATACTTTCCATGTCACCTATGCTCTAAAACATAAATGACTTCTGCTGTTGCCTGAATCCTGACTTCTGTCTGACTTTAAAAATCTTTATATTCTGGATCCAACTTGCCCACTCACCTGTATTTCCTAACTTTATTTCCCTAATATGACCTTTCAAGATTAATCTTTTTGACTGTCCCGTTAAAATAAAAGGCCTGTTTTCCTTCTCCTTTGTCAAGTGCTAGTCTCGGCCTTCTTAATATGTGGCCTGGGCCTTCCCTGCCATAGTTCTTTTCATTATGAAACGGGCGTTATGAATGTGTCCTGCTAATAGGATTGTTATGAGAGAGACTGGATGATAAAAGCTTTAGAAAAAAACGTCTAAAGACCTCTGCAGATGCAAGTTAGTGGTGATGCTGATGATTCTCTCCCTGGCTCACTGCTTGTCTCTCCTTCTTGCTGTAGGGAAGTACGACAATTCCGTGGATGTCTACGCCTTCGGCATTCTTTTCTGGTATATCTGCTCAGGCTCTGTCAAGCTCCCTGAGGCATTTGAGAGGTGCGCCAGCAAAGACCATCTCTGGAACAATGTGCGGAGAGGTGAGAGCCACAAGCCCTACTTTATCCAGACTCCCCCGTGAAGAGCAGACAAACCAGGCACTTGCAGCAGGGCCTCCCATCAGCCCTTTCATTCCGGGCGGCACTGTCCTGAACTGCCTCAAAAAAGGCTTTTTTCTTTAAAATTTCCAATTCTTCAACTTGCTGTGCCACTGTGTTCCAGTTTATCATCACTGTTACTTTTAGATTCTAACCTAGATGTTTACAGTTGAAGCCAAAGCTTATTGCATTTTTTTTTTTTTTTTTTTTTTGGTACATGCCCCTAGCGGGAACCAAACCTGGGTTTCTCTAGTCCACAGGCTGATGCTTCAGCCACTGAGCCAAACCAGCCAGGGCGCTTATTGCATTTTTTAGCATCCTGAGCCCCAACTGGGTCATTAGCCTGAGAGCTTAGCATGCCTATTGGTTGTATTGGTCGCCCTCTCAGTAACTCTGGTCTTATTTCCACGCTCCTTTCTTTAGGAGCCCGCCCAGAACGCCTTCCTGTGTTTGACGAGGAGTGCTGGCAGCTGATGGAAGCCTGTTGGGATGGTGACCCCTCTCAGAGACCTCTCTTGGGCATTGTCCAGCCCATGCTTCAGGGCATCATGGATCGGCTCTGCAAGTCAAATTCTGAGCAGCCAAACAGAGGACTAGATGATTCTACTTGAAAGCAAAGAACTTTCTCTTTCACTCTCTGTCTTTCCTTCCCCTCACCTTTGGCCATGGGAAGAATTTGACAGTTGTTCATTAGGAGAGCTCACAGGGGAATGGACGCTTGCTGGGCAGCTGGAGACCTCCCCAGGCAGAGATGACTCCTGGTAGTGCTGTCAGACGCTGAGCATATTCAGCAGTTCACTGATGCCCCAAGCTGTTCCTTTAGCAAGAGATTGTCTAGGTCATGGGTAAGAGGCTGAAGAAGACAATGTTCTGGCCTTGGAACTGAAAAGGAGGTAAATGTTACCATTGTCTGTTCACTGTGTTACTAAGACAAGCGGGATACTGCATTGGCAGTAGTATTAAAAACAATAATTTTCATAGTTTTGGCTTTAACTAGGGATAGTTTGGTTCTATCCAGTTGTCAGGACCCTTAGAAAATTCAAACTTAGTTCTGGAATTGTGAAAACATAGGAGCGAGAAAATAACTTGTGGCTACCTGGTTCCTGTGGTCTGCACCCAGAGATCTCGGGTTGCACCAGCCAGAGGTCCCAGTGATGAAGCGGAAACAAGGCTGTCCATTCCTTCCAGTGCCAGTGTGTTTACATGTATAGGCCCACATAGCCCTGACTTCTGGAGAGTTTCAGTTACATCACTAAGAGGCCACAAAAAGAAAAAAAATTGTGTGTGTGTGTATGCTATTGGATTTCGAGTTATTGCTACTCCTAGAACAGAATCTCTTCTACCCTTGGGTCTTCATTTTTTTTCTCTTTTTGGTCTCAAGATGGGGAAACTCCAGATAACATGGTAATTAGGGGTGATGTCTGAGAAAAACTGACCCAGTGTGAATGAGTATTTGGTGAGACTGAGACATCACGGACAGTGATCTGGAGGCCATGGGTCTCCATACAAACCCACAGCTTGTTTTTCAAAACTTAAAAAATTCAAAAACTTCTTTCTGTGTTTGACTATAACACATTTATGTTTTTAAACTTGATCAGTGAGCTTTTTAACCAAGGTTTCTTCTGCAACTTGTCCCTTTTTACCTTATTTTAAATATAATGTTTGGGGGAAAGAACCAGATGAAAGAGAAGAACACTTTTTGTAGTTGTGTGTGTGCCCTTTACCCTTGTGTGTTAGTGTCTGGAATGGACCCCCTCCCTTGTATTTGGAAGGTGGGGTGCTGGTTTTTGGGAGAGTTTGTCATGAAATGTACATAAGAAGAAAAACTCTTATGAGTCAAAGGAAGGGGAACAATTTAAATATTGTGCATCTCAGATCCTGACTTCAAGCCTCCCTCAACCAAAATGGTCCATTAGATGTAGAAGAACATGTAGGTGAAGGAATGGACAGTGGAGGTGAGTAACCTCCTCCATCGGCCTAATCCCCAATCACTGTGGTCTGTCCCCTGTGCCTCGTCCCAAACTATGTGAAATAGGTGCCTGAGTAGGTGTGTAAGATAATGGGCAGATTTGCTGCTGGAATTTTCTAGGGTTGTTTGTGACTGAATGACCATCTCTTAAATGTAGGGTATAAATAAGGTCTACAGAAAGTGATCTGTATAACTTTGAAAGCCCAGTTGACTCTGGCTCCCCAGGCTCTGATTATGACATGCGTGAGTGTAGTAGCCCCTGAGCTCTAGCCCTCCAGCAACCGTGTAGCGCTAAGACCTTTCTACTGCAAATGACAAGTTGACGGACCCAGTGCTTTGGGTTCTGTGGGCTCCAGCCTTGTTTCGGTGGAATGTTCAGTCTCTCAGAATTTTTAACACTTATTTAGCTGTACTTCAAGTCACTCTGATTCTTGTCAGCATTAGCTCATTGCCCTTCTGGGACTATGATGGCCTTCTAGGGAACCATGTTCAAGTTTAAAAAGTAGAGGAATAGTCCCTACTTGCTGGAAAATCAGTGTAAGTCTTGTTCTGTATGAAATTTCAAGAAAGTTTTTATATAGTTCTTTTTTTCAGAAATTGCAAGAAAGCTTTTATATAGTTCCCTTTTCCAGTCTTTTTAACTCTGACTATAATCAGGAGTCTGTGCTCCCATTATGGAGACCACATTCCTAACATTCTTTGGAAGTCTTAGTTCATACCCCCATTCACACAGGGGAGGGTAGGTTTTTACCACCCAGAGTCCCTTTTCCGTTTATCCCCTGTGGCTTAGTCTGCTCTCAGACGTCAGTTTTCTAGCAGATGCCCCACATATTTTGCCTGAGGAGGGAGGGAGGGGCTAGTGGATGAGTAGTTGTGTTACAGTTCATTAAATTAAAAAAAAAAAAAAAGTATTCAGAGAAAGGTGCAGAATATTCCTGAAAGTCTCCAGGCCAGCCAAAGCCCACATGTCGACATTCGGAGGTGTTAAACACTCAGCAGGCTGAGTGCAGGAATACATATGTATAACACGTGTATACTTTGCTTTTGTTTTACAACCATTGTCAGCAAATTTCAGATTCTTTGTTCCTTGGCATCCGTTGTTATTAAAGTGATGGAATGCCATGAAATGTACTGTATTGTATATTACTTGGGAAGATACTAAGTATTAAAGATGTTTGGTGGCACTTGGGCTGTTAAAAGCTCAGCAAGACCAAAGTCTGAAGAATTTACCTCCTAGCTTTGGCTGTATGTGCTCCTACTGGTGAGGTGAGACAGTGGCTGGGGAGGAAGAAGGATGAGATGAAAGGATTACCTGTGTTTTATCCTTCTAGTCAGTTTAATTAGGGCAATGTACCTCAGCCCGAGAATGATCACCTGGCCATTTTTAATGCACTTGAAGTCTGATCACTTATGTTGCTTCAGAACTGAGTGGGGGACCTTCCTGCAGAGCAATCAGAAGACATGGAGTCTGGAGCCAGGCGTGGCTGACCCTGTGCCTAGGAAGCCAGCAGCAAGGTCAGTCGTGGGTGGAGGAATGCTCGTTGGGGGGGGGTTTCCACAGGCGTGCCCTAGTTCCCTTATCCTCTGCAGAGTAGCTCACTGATGACAAGCCTTTCACAGCTCTGGAAAGAAGGACTATGCTGGTTCTTCCCAGACCAAAGAGAGTCACTTGTGACTCCATCACTTTCAGGGGGACAGAGCCTAGGCAGAAGCTTTTCCTAATTTTTAACACTAAAAGTCAAGGTAACAGTGGAGGAAAGGATACGTTACTATCACAGATAGAAATAGGGGAATGGCAGAACTCTCAACTGGTACCTGTTAGCTCTCCAATACTTTTTTTTTTCATCTTTGCTTGAGTAGCCAAAGGTATTGGAGAAGTTTTTTTGTTACCAGACAAGTGGTTTGGGATGCAATGTGATAACTGCACTGAATGACACTTTATTTTTTGGGTTTTATTCAGCACTGACAAGCCAAGGGGGGATTGGTGGTTACAGGAGCACATGGGGGAATAGGGACTCCCTCTGGCCTTACTTTGGCAAGAAGGCATGCTTGGTGTTCTGTCTGGCTAATCAGGGAACCCTCAAACTCCACAGTGCATCAGAGCGGGCTACAGGACCCTCCAAGAGTCCATTGCCAAAAGAGTAGTTTCTTTGAGATTTCAAAGCTTGATTTTGGGATTTGCTGGATCAAATAACCCACTTTCTTTTCAAAAAGAAAAAAAAGAGGGTTTTATCCTTCGAAATATGCAGGTGTGGCAGGTAAGGATTAGTATGGCTGTTAATAAGTATGGCAGGAGTAACTCTGAGAAACTTATATCGTGAACTCCCTTGGGGATTTCAAGGAGCACTACTGTTCTTGTAAGGGTTTTATTTTTAACTTCATCTGCTTTGTTAACATCCAGTCCAATTGAGATGATTGCAGAGACTATGTGAACACCTGGCACTGGGTAGGCCTTCTTCCCCGGAGGGTTGAAAAGAAAATTGGTCTGGACAGCTTGTTGTCTTTTGTCATTATGTAATATTTTTGTTTGTTTTAAAGCGCTAATGTTTATTATGGTGTTAAATAAAAGTGTAACATACTAAATGTGTAGAATAAAAGTGCAATAAGTAGAGAAATTACTTTGGCACAAACTTCAGTCCTTACACTCTCCTTTCTTGTGCTACCTGTCTCTTTCCACATTGTTACATTTCCACATTGTTACAGCAGGACCCTGTTAATTTTGTGTATTTTTAAGAGACGCAATTAAGGGATAAGTCTTCACTTAGTGTAATTTTGAAGGGTTGGGTTTGGTTTTATAGAATCCTGTATACCTGTTGAGGTGCACAAATACCAGATGTGCTGTATAATAAAGATCACATTAACGTTTAGGTTTACATGTGTTTGGCCTTCGTTTTCCCTGTGTTGACAGGACACTCCTTATTCTATTCCATTTCCACTGGGACCTCTGCAGTCAGATGTCTTTCAGTTTGCCTTAGAGATTGATGGAACATGCCACTTGATTTCCAGTTACTTGACATTATCACACCAGAAAGTGGGGCAAGGCAATGGAAGGTAGGACAGCCGAGAAGAGGGGAGCAAGGTGTGACAGCAGTTTATTTTTCAGAGCCTTTCCTGGGTTCACACATGTTTCTTCAGCTTCTCAGCACAAACTTGCAACATTCTGAGCTCATGCAGAGCCTAGCTATTCTTTACTGTGAGAGAATCTAGGGATGGAATCTATATACTGGACTATCTGCATTTGGAATATTTCAATTTTCTGTTTAGGTTCACCCCACCTTCAGATTTGCTTGCCAGGCAGTGCCCGGCCGGCACCACCACAGGCCACTGCCAGCAGAGTGGCACGACCTGTCGTCAGCAGGCAGCATGCCTGCTCTTCCCGTAGTGTGCTTGTTTTATCTGCTTTTGGGGTTACTATTTCATGCTTATATGGCTGCATCATTTTTTGCTATATCTGCTTATGATTTGACTGCAACACAAGTTTAGCCAGGAGATGGCAGCACACCTTAAACAGCTGTAGTGTTTTTGAGTAAGTCTTAAAGGAAAAGCTAAAGCAGAATCTCAGTGGTTCTCTGCCTACCCTACACAAAAGTCATTTAATCTCAGTGGTTCTCGGCCTACCCTACACAAAAGTCATTTAATGCAGGTCAGCCGTTTACACTTGTGAAACTCTCCATTAAATTCCAGCCACCCGTCACAGCCAAATATATCCCGTCTTACATGCATGTACCCGATACTCTAGCATGAAGTTCAGCATGAGTTCTCTTAACTGCCTCTCTAACCATTATTAATTTGGAGTAAATAGCTTGTAGTACATACATTTTTAGATTGGGTATGCTTTTCTAAGAAGCCATACCTTAGCAGGCTTGTCTCTTGAGTAGGACAACTGGGGTGGCCTTCCTGGTCCTGTGATTGAGTGGGGTTCAGAGGGGAGAGGCCACCAAGTTTCTGAACACTGTTGAATTTAACTTAGACATTTTTACCTTTAGTAGGATCCCAAGGTGTCCACGAAGTGCAGTTACAGGTGGCCATTGAATTGGATGAGGTCTTGGGGTCCTCCTAGGGAAGGCCTGCTCCTCAGTATATTCTAAAGGTGTCATTTCAAATCAGTGGGAAAAATAGACTATTTTATGAAACTAGATATTCACCTGAGAAAAAAATAGGCTCAAATCATGCCAAAAAAAAAAAAAAAAAGTATACTAAAGATCTAAATATTAAAAGGAACTATAAAGGAAAGATACAGCGGCACACACATTGAGTATTTGTTATATATTAGGCGCTATTCTAAATGCTTTACATATATTAACTCACTTATGCTTCACCAGAACCTCATTTACTTATGAGAAAATTAAGTACCAGAGTCATGCAAGTGATAAATGCCAGAGCTGGGATTTGAACCTAAGAAGTCCATCTCCAGAACCTCTCGTTCTACAACTAACCACTATGCCGTTCTGCCTCTGGGAAAAAAATGTGTGTATATTCATTTATTGTTTGGAGGAAGGGAGAACTATTTGAGTGTGATCAGGAAACCAGAAGGCATAAAGAAAAAGCGATAGAAATGATAAAGAACACATATACATCCAAAGACACCAAAAGCAAAATTAAGATAGATCATTAATTTGGAGACAATAATTACATAACTGATGAAAGATTCATATTCCTAATATATGAAGAAACCAATAAAAAATTTTAAAAACAAATTGGCTAATACATATTTGAAAAAAAAAAAATATTTAGCCCTGGCCGGTTTGGCTCAGCGGTTAGAGCATCGGCCTGCAGTACAGAGAGACCCGGGTTTGGTTCCCGCTAAGGGCACGTACCTCGGTTGCAGTTTGTCCCCGGCCCTGGTTGGGTCGTGCGGGTGGCAGCCACTCGATGTGTCCCTTTCACATCTATGTTTCTCTCTCTCTCTCTCCCTCCCACTCTATCCGAACAAAAAATGGAAAAAAAATGTCCTCGGGTGAGGATAAAAAAAAAAAAAAAATTATTCTCAGTAGTAATCGGGGGAAATGTATATGAAGACCAAAAAGATATTTCCATCTATCAAACTCCTGAAAATAAATTTAAAAACCTATTTATAAGTGTGGGTGATGAGCACTACTTCCTATGTTGTCAGGAGGTAGCTAGCCACAAAAGGGTAATTTGGCAGTACCTAATATAAGCATTTTATTTTAAATATTTTGTTTGTTTGTTTTTTTAGAGCTAGAGGAAGGGGGAGAGAGATAGAAACATTGATATGAGAGAGATATCGATAAGCTGCCTCCTGCACACCCCCTACTGGGGATCAAGCCCGCAACCCAGGCATGTGCCCTGACCAGGAATCAAACCAAGACCTCTCAGTCCATGGGATAACACTCAATCCACTGAGCCACACCAGCCAGGCAAATTTTTTAAATGTATATATCCTTTGCTCCAGAAATGACTTCTAGGCAGTCTCCTACCTACAGAAATATTTGCACAGGTGTGTAAAGCTATAAATATAAGGATGTTTATTGCATAATTTTTTTACACTTTTTACTAAAAACATGGATACATTTATTTTTGAAATTCTGTCCTAAGGATTTACTGACCACTTCATTTTACAGTAATAAAGCAGCTAATTAAATTATTTACAAAGTTAATGTATTTTTAATTGCATTTTGGGGGGTGAAATTAAAATTGGGGAAACCTAAAGTTATACAGGTTTTCGGTGTACAATTCTATAACACATCACATGTATATTGTATGTTCACCACCCCAAGTCAAGTCTCCTTTGTCACCACTTATCCTCCCTTTACCCTCTCCTGCCTCCCCCCACCCGCCTTGCATCATTATTTGTAATACTAAAAAGTTGGAGGCAATGTTAATGTCTGACAAGGGAAGGTTAAATTATGGAGCTCATACCATGGAATACTACGCAGCTTCAAAAAGGAATGACATCTCTATGTACGGACAAGAAAATATGTTTATACTATATCATCAGGTTAAAAATAATTTTTATAAGAGTATATTTGTTATGACCCCTTTTTATGTAAAAATCCCTTCCATTCCCCATGACCCCATATTATCTAGAGATTTAGTCCACTTCTCTCTATATATATGTATAGGAAAAAGTTTGTAAGCATATATATCAAACTGGTAACTGGTATTCCTAGGGAGAGAACTTTCAACTTTTAGTGTATTGAATTTTTGTTATTGTATTGTTCATCTGCTATGAACATCTATTTTTCTCATGTTTTAAGAAAGTGAATGAAATGGCTAATTTAGGAGAAAGGAAATATGTTTTGGAAAGGTATTAGGGGCCCACAAAATCAACAGGAAACTGCAACATCAGGCTCACAGAATCAGTAGGCAGGAACCAGGGTAGATTTGCAGGCTACTGCAAAGGGCTCACTATGGCTGTGCAGAACCATCTTCACTCAGGAGTCGGCAGCCAGGGAGAATTCTGTCGACTGGCCCAGCAGGGGCCCAGGCCCATCTCCTAGCTGTGTTGGTTCAGAACTGGAAGGCTCTATCCAACTCCAGATTCCGGGTGAAAGGTAGATTTTCCCGCTCACTAAAACTGTATTCAATGGAGATGTCATTCCTAAAAGGTAATCAAAGGGCTGTTAGGAAAGGGACCTAGATTCAGGACAGGCCCCAGGTGACAGATGTCCACTTGGGCTGCTTGACATCACATTCACCTTTCTGGCTCTACTTGGGAGGCAAGGTGGTGAGAGTAGATTTACAGACTGGAGCCAGTGCATGGAGGATCGTCTGTGGGTTACTTGGAAAGACATGAAAAAAGCTGGAGTTTTTTTCATCTCAAGAAGACTCCGTTGGCTTCTATTTCCTTTCCTCTCCCTCCCTTTTTCTCAGCATGGCTTCCCAATGAAGTCCATCATAAAGATGCTCAAGTGCCTAAGAATATGCTAAATCAGAACCTTTCTACTGTGTGGAGTCCAGGAACTGAAAAAGCAAAAGGATGGGGAAATGCCAGCCTCAACGTGAAGCCACAGGCTCTGAAAATCAAGAGCCACCAACTGGGAACGTGGAGAAACAACGCAGAGCTTGAGACATTTTACAGAGCAGGATTTGCGTACAGTTTTTAAAAGTTATTATTTACTGTTCGATACTTGCAAAACCAGCATATGTAACGTCCTTGTAATTATGAAACATGATTTTTGAAAAGTGAACTCGCCATGTAATGTGTGGACCAGAACATGACCATAGTTTTGAAGCCCCAGATGCCAACCCTCCACCTTTCCCACCCCAAGGTTACTGTAGGCCTGTAAAAAAAAAAGGTTTTCCAAATATACATGTACCTTAAACAATATATAATTTGATTTTGCATTTCTTCTTGAGCTTTATAAAAATGGTGTTAAGCTGTGTTTAGTCTTCTATAACTTTTTCTTTTCACTGCAGTACATTTGTTTTCACTGTAGTGTATTATTCTGATGTGTGAGTGGACTGCAGTTTGGCCATTCTCTATTTTTCTCAGGAAACCAACTTTTGGTTTGGCTGTTTCCCTCATAGTATCTCTGTTTTCTATTTTATTAATTCGTGCTCATCTTAGTTATTAGCTTCTCTGTTCTCCCTTTTCAGGCCATTCCAATGTTCATTGCTTTCCCCATCTTCTTCTTTTTTTTTTTCATTCTCACCCAAGGACATTTTCCCATTTTTGTTCAGACAGAGTAGGAGGGAGAGAGAGGAAGAGAGAGAAAAAACCATCGATGTGAAAGGGACACATTGAGTGGCTGCCTCCCACACGACCCCAACCAGGGCTGAGAATGAATTGCAACCGAGGTACGCGGTGCCCTTGAGCGGAATCAAACCCACAACTCATTGGTCTGTGGGCTGACGCTCTAACCACTGAGCCAAACCAGCCAGGGTTCCCCCTATCTTCTTAAGT